TTCCCAACACTGTCAGTGATGTGGTGAGTGGCCAGAATGACGGAAAGATGAATGTTACAAACACGAGTCCTCTGAGAAACTGGTTAGACTTGAAAATGGGGTATTAGTTCGTCTTTCAGGATAGCGATGACCTAAAGTATACTGGCAACACAAAATGTTACTTTATAGAAAAAAAATCTTTATTGGTTGTGTTAATGTATTCACAAATACAGTTTACAGACAAATCAGGGTAGAAAAAAATTACATAACCATCACAAAATGAGGAAGAAACAAATTCTCTAATTCCCACCTTCTTCAAGCAATTGAGCCAAATTGTAAAGTTACTAGTTGTAGCTGTATTCACACATAAATTTCAGAGAGCAGAATTAGTTTGGGATGTTCTCCACAGTTGTCCTTTCTCATATATACACATGGGCATATACATGTATACATTTAGTATGCATTTGTAAATAACCTGCTTTTACCCTGCTGGAGATACTCTAGCAATGATTGCACTAGAATATTACCTACAGTATTCACACAATGGCACAATCCACTTCACATGGACGTTGTACTAGCAAGTTGGCAGTTTCAAGACTGGCTAATATAAGATCCAAATGGATTCTTACAAGCACGAGGGTGTGGTGTTTGTGCAAAAACAAAAGAATTTGAAATCAAACAATAGACAGAGTTTTCTGTTTCGCATTTTAAAGAACATGGGACCCAGTAAATTTTACCTACTTAAAAGTGTTCAACATGTTGTATGTTTCTTGCTCTCTCTGTATAGTCTTACAGGTGCGTTCATAAGCCCATATGCACTGTAAACAACTCACCAGTATCAAAGTTTTTTTTTTCTGGCTATCTAATATGACTGATGCAGCTGAACATGTAGGTATGTAAAAAGGATTTCTCAGCTCTTAGTCTACTAGTTAGTATATTCCACAAAAATACATGTTAGAAAATTTCCTTGTATCTGCCTTATTTTAATGGAACGCTAATGTTGTTAATATACACTAAAATAATAAAACATTTAGATTTGATCTGCAAATTTTGAACCATTTTCAACATCCAACATTAAAGTGAAAAATGTTGCTTTAAATTAGTTAACTATAACATAATTCAGTTACAACTGTAATTATATTGTACGTAGTAAATATAAGGTTTTTTATGGGTTGTTTATGTTTGTTTGGTTCTAAAAACAAAAAATAAACAAAAACATATATATCCTTTGGATTCAGTGTTTTGGAAGACTAATTATTGAGTATAGCATTACAAACATTACAGAAAAAAGTCTGAAATCAGAAAACCTGATTTGCTATTGCTAAATGGCTGTTTCATAAAGTTCAAATAAAAAAGAAAAGTATTTCTGGTCTCTGTTTCAAATGGGCAATCCATTGTTGCTTCGGTGAAATAACAGATTTTTGTGCTTCTGTTTAAGATATCTAGTGTTAGACTTCCCTGAGGAGAAGTATCCTTAAACAACAACCAACCATCCTATATAAATCAGATAGACAAGCATTGCCTTCAACTACCCTGTAGGACATTATGCTGCTGTTACTATTCCTGTTGTGCACATTATGCTACATTTAATCAGCCAACAGGATTTTGAATGCATTTCCTACGTGTTTTTAGGAAGTGGGTGAAAGGTCAAACAAAAAGCCCATTCAGGCTTCCTGCCTCTTTACAAAACTGATTAAAGCTTTTGTTTATTCTTCTAGGTCCGACATGGAAACCAAGTTTCAGAATCAAACTGTCAAATATTCAAATTTGACAGTTTGACCTGCATTTTACAGTAACATAATCTACATGAGAAACAAAACAAAGACTACATAAAACCTCATCTAACACTTCACCTGACTCATCTGGAATTTGTCCCTTGAAAATACACCATATGTCCTAACATCGATACTTTAAATTGCTGACTTTACTACTCAACAACATAGCCTCATCTCTTAAAGGACCAGCACAGTGTTTGGCATGTTTCTTTCTGTTAAAGCTGTTTTTGTTTTTGTGTTTTGCCCTGGTGCAAAAAACAAACAAACAAACAAACAAACATTAAAATCAACACTGACATAATATCAACATTTTTTCTAGCATTTCTTTCACCAGGAACATTGACATCAGTGACCATGGAAAGGATTACCACAGGTTCTGTATGCTGTGATGTGTAGACAGACATCCATAACTTAAATTCTTCTGTTACATCCATGTTAAGTTATGTTCAATATGGTCTGAAAACTTCCTGTAAGGCACCATGAATTCTTGAGTTTTTGTTTTCTTTTAAAAAACAAACAAAACAAACCAAAATCTACAATTTTAGAGGCCAAATGCTGCACTAGATTTACTAGCCAATCTTTATCTATCTGCTACTTGTGACACATCAGGTAGTTTCTTGAAAAAGACAAAACTAGTGAGGTTAATATTGATGAGACACTGACAAACCAAACTTCAAAATGAACCTTTGCTAAAGTAATTGGCCAGAACATGCATTTAACACTGCAATGGTCCTTTGAGAAATTACGTATTTGACATCACTGACAAGTAAAGTTTACTCATCATCAAATAATCCAGTAGAGCAGACAAATCCAGAATGGTTTATTTATCAAGCTGCAATTTACTTGCCTTGTACTGTTAGTTTACTCATACAAGTAGGTCCATAGGTATGGGACTTTAAACTCAAACAAGTTAAGAGGATTAAGAGAATTACCGCATTGACTGTCTACTTATCACAGTAAAGTTTATATACAGTCCCAAATTTACAGAATCTCATAAATAATTAAAGAAGCTAACATAACCTTAAATGTGTTTTCAAAAATTAGATGACCTTTGCAGCACATGACAACCCCAAGTCTAGAATCTACAGACATCACTAAATGCTGCAATTACTTCCTTGGAAGTTTTATGGTTTCTCAAAGTCAGCTGAGATTTTTGTTAGATGCATCTATGGCATCGATTTGAGAACCCTAGGTGACTTCTTTCTCATGTTATTGCTTTGTAATACTGTCAGAAATCTTGACCTTTAACCTTGAGGTCGACGTCATTGAGATTAAAATTTGTCCGAGATTTTTAGAAGATGTACCAAGGGTATCAACTTGAAGCACCTATATTGCATTCACAAACTTCAAGGCCCACCTACCTTCCTGCCCGGCGGGGTGATGACAATACCTTTTACCGTTTAGGGGTAAAAAGCATGCTATGTCAAGTTGAGAATATGTGACCAAGTTGGCTAAATGTATTATTCAATCAATTTTGCAGTATTTGTTTGAATCTGAGAAGGCATCATAGCCACACACTTCAGAATTCATTATACTGTTTTTATCAGCATTCACTGCAGTCACCTTCTCAATTTCCTTTTTCCATCGTTCTAGTACAAGTTCATCTTGATTTCATCTTCCAAAGGAAAGGATTCTTTTTTCCCCCCAGAACTGATCGGGCTCCCCTAGAGGTTTTCTGGCTTTTTCAATTTTGAACTCCCTGTTCTTGAGTGTAACCAGTATTTGGATCTTGTTGTAAACCTCTATTCACAATCGTGAAGTAATCTCTTGATTGCAGAGAATGACAATCATAGGCAGATGGCTAGATGTTGTGTTTTTCTAAATCAAGGAAAGTGTACACAACAAGCATCCACTTTAGTTGTCTTCTGTGGCCAGTGAGCATGGCCAGTGCATTCCTGCTTTTTTAGGAATGTACCACATCTCTGATATGGCCTGCTTCCTGTGCATCAAGATCTCCGGACCTCATATTGAGAATTCAGGGGAAAAGATGCCAAATATAAGTTCAACCCTTGGAATCATATCTGAATCTTTTATCGGATTACTTTATCATGCAATGATATGAGAACAGGCATCACCTGGTCATCAAACTTTTTGCAATACTTTTGTTAAACCCATTTGTTAAATTAAAGCAGTTACATATTGTTTGATTTCTTTTGTTCTTCCCAACATTACAATTAACAATCCACAATAGGTTCACAGCTACACGTGCAAATAAAAACAGTAGAAAGATGAAAAATCCCACAAACATTTTTTTCTGTTGTCATTTTGTTCAGCCACCATATTTCACAAACCCACAACCATCTCATTGTCTATAGAACCATCACTTGTAAATATGCTTTCCTTCAGGAAATAAAGACAAAAAATGATCTGCATGAAGATTTTTGGAAACCTGGCACCTAATTAGGACCTGACTCTTCTGTCACCTACCAGTAACAGGCTTCACACGATAAGGGTGGAATGTGCGTCGGGTTCAAGCTACCAAGGTGAAGCCGTGAACAAGATGAGAACCTTCATCAACTTAACAACATTTCAACATATTGGTTGTTGGTCCTACCTTCCAGGCAGTCAGTCATTTGCTGCTATACACAAATTACAAGTTTTACAAAAATGTCTTGTTCAGTTTTTCCTTTGAGTACATCTTGTTATTTTCACTAGCAATAATTGCTATCCCAATTGACATCAAAGTGAATAATGGACGTACCTCGCCAACTAAACTAGGTAGTATTAGCTGATAACTTCCCATCTCCACTGTTGGGTTTCGATCATGTATTAAAAATAAAATAAAACAAGATGGCAACAATGACAAATGCCAAACTCAAGGCCCAAACTCAATGGGGAGGGGTGACTGTGAAGATTTTATTCAAATTTAGTCATTCCTGTCATTTCACCTTTAAATGGCCATAGCCTAAAAGCTCAAAAATTTCCATTCAGACTGGGTTAGACAATAATGTATGTGAAGGACTTTGTGTACCAGTTAACCTTATGAAGCCTAATAAGATGCTGATGTTTTCCCTGGCTTGACAGCTTCTAGTTGGTCACCCTGGGTTAATGTTCGAACAGCACAGTGCCTACAGTACTACTGAAATAGACAACAACGCAAACTGAAAAATTTCACCTTGCCAAACAAACAAAAAACAAAAAACAGTAAACTGCTCCATACCCTGCAACACCCTTATTTCCCAGAACACCATTCTTTAAAAACACAGCCTAATGGTTATTTTGTCCATGGTGACATTTTGACATTTAGGCAGCCACAGACAACCACAATATTTGTACACCAAAAAAATTCAGTTACATAAAGCTAAATATTACAATGCTTGAGAAAACGAGGTAAAAAAAAGCCCTACATGGTTTAGTGTATATAAAGATGCATGTTCACACTTTGGATTTGAAATGCCTAGTATGCTGTAGTACAGGACTGGAGAAGGGTTTGTATGGAAAGAGCTTCACTATGCTAGTATTCCTCCACAGTGGATTAAAAGAAGTCATCAACAAATACTGTAAGGAATAACGTGTGTTCCTTTATGTTCAAAATGATATATCAATAAAATGTTAGAACACAGAGATTATGCATTTACAAAGTTTTTGCCCAGTGGCTGGGAACAGTCTGATTCCTCTTTCAGGGGTGGGCAGGGGTGTCTTAACTCTTCAGATGATTTGGACAGGAGCAAGTAGGAACAACACGAGCTAGAAAACCACTGCCCATGGGTGATGCTGTAGTCACCTTGGAAACCGATATGGAGCAGCACGGGAGGATCTGAAAAGCAAAGAGTCTAGATGATTATGATTTTATACCAAAACAAAATCTGTGCCTTTTTTCCCTTCTTTTTTTAAAAGAAGCTTTAAAAAAGTCCAAGTGATCACAGAAGATCACATTCAATATCTTTTATCCAATATTTCTATCATCGCTCTATGTCTCCAATCAACCTGAGCGGTTTCTTTGATATAATCATTCTCTAATTTCTCATCACTCCCAATGAAAATATTAAAATGTTTTCAGCTCTGCCACCTCCCGCCCAGCCTCCTTTTTGTTCGTGTCAACATTTCAGAAACATACACCATAGCAGGTCCCTTTCTCTGCACTGCTATCCTTTTGTTACAAGTCACCTCTGATGCTTATGCCTACCCTTCTCTTCACCCCTCTTTTGGACTCTATGATATGGGCTCAAATTGTGGTCATAAATATTTTGTATTTGTAAATCAGGATTTGTATGTGTAAAAAGAATTTGTGTGTGTGTAAAAAAGATTTGTATGTGTAAAAAAAATTTGTGTGTGCGTAAAAAAGATTTGTGTGTGGACTTAGCCAAAAAATGCCTGTGAAACTCTCGCACTCAAGTTTCAAGCTACAAGTACGAATTTTGACCCTATTTTTCTTCCTTTCATCTGATTAGTCAATGTCATGTCAATCACAAATTTAACTATCCAACCAGAGAACAGATGGGTTTGGCTGTCGGAGGGGCGCTTTTTTGAACTGCAGGTCCTTGAAGGGTAATACAGTTTGAAGCTGGAGGATCTCTATATAAATATCCGATAAAAGCTAGGTCCCCTAACTTTCAGCAGCTGTTGAAAGGATAAAGTTGTGGTATATCAGTGGTTAGAAATACCATTATTACTTTAGGATTAGTTTAACACAAAGTTAGGGCTGACCCGGGACCATTGCTGTGAGTCAAAGTGCGCAGCATAAAGGTCCTTTCACATCGCACGCAGGATGTCCTGCTAATGCTAACTGCTAACTAAAAGCCAAGGATCCAGAATTTGTTGCGCTGGCTGCTGAGCTCTGTGGGTTTTTGCAGCAGCTCTACCTGTACTAGATGCACCTGCTCCTTGTCGTTTCTATCTCTGACTTTGTGTCCTCTACAAGAGTTTGTTTTTGTTGCTAGTTCTTCAAATGTTCAATAAAAACATGTATGCTCACGAAGAAAGCTTTGTAACTATCCCCACTAGTGAAGACTGTCATTTCCAAAACACTGCACCCCCACCCCCGCGGTCCGCAGCGCTGTTGAAAAGGCACTGGAGGTCCCTGTATTAAGCACGTAAACCTGTGACACAAAAATCACCAAACTGGGACGACCACAGATTGTTTTTTTTCGTGGTGATGAAGGAAAACGCTGGGCTGGCATGTAAAAGGGCATTTATTCCCTTCAAGGACCTGAAGCTCCATAAAGCACCCACCTGTTCTCTGATTGGATAGTTAAATTTGTGATTGACATAACATTGGCCAATCAGATGAAAGGAAGAAAAGTAGGGTCAAAATTCGTACTTGTAACTTGCAGAGTTTCACACGTAAGTCCACACACAAATCTTATTTTAAGCACACAATTTTTTTTTTTTACACATACAAATCCTGATTTACAAGTACAAAATATTTATGACCACAATTTGAGCCCATACTATGACACTTTACATGGTTGATCTGAAGTATTTAATTTAATTCAGTCTCTCCAGTATATACCTCCATTTTACCAGGAACTCTTCCATCTGCTTCTTACTCCCACTACCGATCATAATATCATCACATACCACCCCTACCTTTAACCCATATGTCACTCCTATTGCACACCTCCCCACATATGTCCTGCACCACCATCACGTAGTTCTCTCCCACTCCTCTGCACATTACCCTTGATCTTGAGAGTCCGTAACAGTATTCCTCTCGAAGAAGCATCTTTTTTTTTTATCCACCTCTATCCTTGGCAGTCCTTGTAAAGACTGAATGCTCCTGTGGAGGTGCTGATGTTTCCCATTATGGATGAGAAGAAGCAGTTGTGCATGTGTCATTTTGGACACAGGTCCCACCTTTCAGGACAGTTGGATGCAGATACCACTGCAGATGACACTTATTTGTCCCCATGCAACTGGAAACGTGGTCACAGAACATCTTCTCCATCATGATTAGGTGTGGGTTAAAAAACACAAAACCAAAAAAAAAAGATTTACCCGATTAAATTTTTTTTTTAGTTTGAATAATGCGATATCGATTCATTAAATCCTGAATCGATTTTTAAATATAAATGCATTTTGCCAGAAACGCTAAAAATCTCAGTTTAAAGCTCACAAAACTACTTGCACAACCGCCAAAGAGCTAAAACAGCACGTGAAAGCAAGTAAAAGGTTTCGGCACAAAGATCTAAACACACTCGGCGGCATGTATGCAGAATTGCCGTCGGGTGCTGAAAGCTGACATCTCACATGAAGCTGCAGGTTTCCTCACTCTCCAACCAAAATTCACTGAACCAGCAGCAAAAGAAGATCAAAACTACGCTTCATGTTTGATAAACATCGTCATTAATTCCCTCTTACTTTTGCTGATCTGCTTCCATCATGATAAGATCGCGCTTCGTGCACAGCTCTCTCTCAGTGTGTTTCAAGAACAGTTTACTATATAAAAAGTTTTCTCTGTTTCTGTATTATTCGCTTGCTTATTACGCACCAGTCTACTGTTGTGTTCAGTGCCGTCAGCCACTGTTTTGCTTTTGTTTGTTTTTTTCTGCTGTTTAATACCGAAGAAATGTAAAATTCTGATCATTTATCTCTACATATCCATATTTTTTTAGAATATTTATGACTGTCGGAGTCAAAATTGAATCAAATCTGGATCAAATCAGTTATAGAAATTGAAATCGATGCCCAGCCCTAATCATGATGCAGGATCTATAAAGTGGCCACTATACATAGACTCATTTAAGAACTGTAAAAATAACAAAAGATTATCTTACCATGATATTGTTTCACTGCGTTTTTCAGTTTCTTCCTGAGTGTTTGCTCTTCTAGGCTGGCCATCTTCCTCTGGACACACACAAAAGTAAATGAACAGTTACATGCGCACCTAAAAAACTTAAAAAGTGCTCTAACATTCTCACACATTTATACTTCGATGGATGCACTGAAGAGCAACTCAAGGCTAGTATATTACCCAAGAATATATAACCTGTGATTAGTAGAAGACCTGCTCTACCTCCTGAGTTACCAGTCCAAATTTTAGGTAGGGTTAGGGTAAGACGGACAACAGTGTTCCCAAACAAAGGCAAAACAAAATTGGCTACTCATTTTTCATTTCATGCTGAAAAATCAAGCTGCTGCCAATCATATCCTTTTCAGGTGGTATTTCATGGTGGATCCAAATATGACAGTACTTTTACTGCATTAATCAATCAATCAATACAATGACAAAGCCTGTACTGTGTTTTACAGACAGCTGAAGATACTCCTGTGTCCTTCTCTTGACTACCTCCTGTACATGTTTTTCATTTGAACCACACATTATGGTCGTACCGAAGGACAAGTTGCATCAGGTCCTGTGTCAGATTTGCTTTTTCACATTAAAGGAGTAGTTTGGTTCCTTTGTGACCTTTATGCAAGTATCCAACCACAGCTGGGTTTGGAAAAGAAGACAAATTATGTCTAATGTGGTCAGAAGTTCAGTTTCCTGTCAGAAAGTTATTTAGGTTTTTAAAACCTTTTTTGAAACTGGCTAAAACACATTTTGCCGCCAAACCCAAATATGCCAAAATATTTCATTGCTTAACTTCTGTACCAGTCCTCTTCTGAATTTCCGAACTGGAACTATGCCCACCACAAAGTTGGTTAGGACTAATTCTTTAAAACTAAAATGTGGCTCAGTTACTTATCTTTGTGTTTTAATGCAAGGATTGAAAACACAGAATCACTGTTAGGGTGCTTTATGCTTTAACCATTACTCTCTCTCTGAGGTCTGACCTTTAAGCTAGATCAGTCAGGAAACACTCCTCTACATTATAGCATGAAACCCATTAGCATTGTATCGTTCATATGATTTCTTACCACAGTGGTGTCCTTCTACATCATCAAGAAGATTGGCTGTAGAGTTGGCTGTGCCCAATCTGGAAAGGAGTTTAGTTAAGAGCCACAAAACTCAGACCTTGCAAGCCAGATCAATCTCTCAGAGTTCATGGACTCACAAACATGGAGAAATAAATGCAATTATGGAAGCTTATGCATGGCTAGCAATAATATGAGAACCAAAAACCTCGGTAACAATGGCACAGACTATGGAACTGCTTTTCTCAGAATATGAATATGGTGCTTAGCACCTTATGAATAACACTGGTCCACCAGAGGTGGCAAAACTGCACATCTGTCACTTCAGTAGATGGTTTTGTAAAAGTACTGATAAAAAGTACAGCCTCTGAAATTATCCAAAATACAGTAAAAATGCAATTTAAAAAGTAGCTTATTGAAGGACATATCTACCAGCTATTACTGAGGACAGCTAACAGAACCTTATGTCATGTTAATATACCAATAAAATGATATTATTGGAATACAAACATTATGGGGAAAAAAAGCTTAGAAAAAAACAAACAAAATTTAACAAATGCCTGTCCTATTAAGTGAGTATACTCGTGGGTTAAAGTGGGATTCAGCAGGTGTGAGAAACCTAAGATCAATTGTAGTGGTGCAGCGAGGAGTAACTTAGAAATCATTCACAGTGATTTCTGTTGTGTGCTCCAGCAGATTATTTTGTATACAGCCTGTGGTCATCTAACCTGTGCTGCTCTAAGTTTTATTGTTCTTTTTGGGTTCAACTGAATTCAGCAAGATACAAGCATGTGTTACATGAGCTATCATGATTGATTTCCAAACTCTAGACAGCATAAATCTAGTATAAAGGTCAAATTCACTGAATTAATCATCAGTTTAAATTTAAAATGCCTGTTACAGTGACCATGAACAACACAGATGCCTACAACAGTCCAACATAGTGCATTGCTTTAAATATTACCACACTACTGCAAACTAACTGTTTTGCCTGCACTAAACTACCTCGTACTTTCATACAACCTCTGAATAACCTCTGAATAACACAAAGCAAGTGGGATGGGGTGGTGGTCCAGTTTGGTGCTGAGGATGTCTGGGATTATGGTGTTGAACACCGAGCTGTAGTCCACAAAGATTATCCTGATGTAGCTCTTCATGCTCTCCAGATGGCTCAGTGCTCTGTGAAGGTTGATATTGATGGCATTGTCTGTGGACTGATTTGCTCTGTAGGCAAAAGGGTGGAGACACTATCTGCTCGAAACACTTCATGACTACAGACATGAGGGCTATAGGTCTGTCATTTTTGAGATGGTCTATACCAGGCTTTTTGTGGATGGAAATGATGGTGGAGGCCTTCAGACAGGTGGGAACAGTGGCATGAATCAGGGAAAGGTTGAACAATCTGGTGAGGATGCCTGCCTGAGCTCCTCTGCAATTTTGAGGCTCCTGTTGGGGGGGCTCTGGCCTTTGTATTTGGTGGGGGCTTGGATTCCTCTCCACACCTGGTAGGAGATGTTATCAGTAAGACGGCCTCCACACTCTCCTATAGGCCCTCCTTGGCCAGTTCGATGCCCCTCCTCAGGTTGGCTCTGGTAGTGCTGTCCCTCAGCCTGAGTTACGAATTCTGACCAGAGCCTGTACTTCATTTTTCATCCAAGATTTTCGATTAGGAAAAATGCAAACAGTTTAGGTCACTGTCGCATTCTCTACACTTTCTTTAATGTAGAAAAGGACAGACTAAGTGAAGGTCACCAGGTCCTGCTGTTCAAAGATGGACCAGTCTGTTAGATCAAACCCACCCTCATGGGGCCATTTCACCAGAGTGCACGCAGATATCACTTTGTTTTGCACACAGATGTCAGTTTTTGTCTAATCAGCCATTCCCCATTTCTTCAACAGTTGCTTGCTGGGTTCAGAGAAGATGAAGGAAGACAGCTGAGCCAAGCTGGTTTCTGCAGTTGGAAACTAGCTGTGAGCTGGCTGGCAACTGGGAAGCATGGCCGCAATGGTATACCAGAGGAAGTGTGGAATAAAAGAAAGTGTGAGCGAACCCCAAAGGAAGTGTCATCAGTGTCTTGCTGGAGCCCTCCCCTCACAGCCTCAGCCTCCTACAACTCTATTGCATCAACTGAACACACTTGTGCCTAAAATTGTCCACCATGTTTCACCATGCTTAAAATGCCAAATTTTAGACCTTTCATGTCACCTGTGATCAGAAGTTCAGATGTATATCAATTCACTATGTTCAGTTTAAACACTGGTTTAAACTGAACATAGTGTTAGAGTGTCAAGGTTGATGGTGTTTTACCCTTCAGGTGTACTAAAAGACACTCAAGGGGGTTAGCAAGTATCCAAATATTGTTGTATCATCAAACAACACTACCAACACACAAAGTTTAATGTTAGTGACTTATGAAATCAAACACTTATCAAATTAAGTACAAGAACAAGACAAGAACGTTCTGCAATTTTAACTAATTACTTATTTACGTACTACTCAGTTAAATTTTTCTTCTTACTCTTTCTTCATAATGTACTCCATTGTGGAATGCTACTTGTATAGTGCTTTTCTGAGCACTCAAAAGACTTGTATTGCTTTTTATGTCTCATTACAAAAGACTTTCATTCTATGCCTTTAAGTGCTTTGTCTCATACACACAAACAACTAAAGGAGCAACTTAGTGTTTAGTATCTTTCCCAAGGTATTTCTACATGCAGACCGGAGGACCCAGGAGTTGAGTCACCGATTAGCACTTAACAGCAGTGAAAAGAAACAGCTGTACATTAAAGCAAGTACTATCAACAGTAAAAAAAAATCTTCTGTGTGTAGTGTACTAGAAGTCTAACCATTTTCATAACATTTTTGAAAGTGGTTTTGATTTAATGTGTTGTTTTAGCTACTGTACTGCCTCACAACATGAAATGGAACCTTTTTAAAAATACAAGAATCTCAGCCTGACCACATTTCCATAAAGGATACGAATGATGCTTCAGGAGTGTCCTCCTTTTTGACTTTCTTCTCTTTGTCTTTTCTGAAAATGTTCTGGCAATTTCAAACAGCTTCTTTCTTGTTGCTGAAGGTGAAAAAAACAACTTCCTGCTCCATTAATCAAAC